ACACACACACACACACTTCATGTGAAATAAATAGCAATATGTACAAGACTCTCTCAAGAGGGCAGAGAAAACTCAAGTTATGCATTATGTTAGTACACAAAACACATCTACACGCAGTACACAACTTACATAATGTAAACAATCAACAAAATGCTTAGCCCTGTAATGTTAAAATGACCTTAAAATCATAAACAATGAAATGTAAGTCGTACAAGGATTCCAGCATTAATCAAGCTTAATCAGATCTAGACACAATCCAGATACGAGTCGTTGTATGATGGTGTAAAGGTGGTCGTATGTTCCCAGACGTCACATTGCTATGTGAAATCTCCACTATCACATTAACAGTCTTAAACCATGACAGAAGCAGCAATCAAAGGGTGTGAAAAAAACATGATCCAACCTTTTCTTGTTCTGGCAGCCTGTCCTTGCTGGCATGCTGACCATCTCCCTCCCACCACTAGCTCACCTGTGTAGTACCAATGACCTCAAAAGTTCTTTGTCAGACATGTAATAGAAGGCAAAGGCAGTAAGTAGCAAAGTTGAGCCATCTTAACGAAAGAGTCTTCTTTTCTGTCTTTGACAGCCTCCTTAAATGGTCAAACATGGACAATCCCAGGGTCAGTGGAGGGAAGCAGGGTAGGTAATAAGGAAGTTTAAGGTTACAATGATAAGACTGTAAATGAATGAAGAATAATTCATGCTGGAGTGCCACATGACAAAAAGTAGGCAGATATTTTTCACCCATACAAGACCTGGTTCAGTGTCCTCCCCTCATTATGATACACTTCAGACAAAAAGGTGATAATATGAGTTGATCAATAATCATGGGAAGACTCTGACCTTTAAAGATGCTGGAAATGCTACGTCCACTTGTTAATAAGGACATTTTTGAAAGATAATTCTAATTTCGTACAACTTGGGTCATACTGTCATACTTTCTGGAACATGTAACACAGTGAGTCAAAGGTACTCAAATACCAGACTCCCTGGAAGCACAAACGGCACCAATAGTGTTTTGTGGCTTGCTCCGAGGCATGTTTCCCATTTACCATTACCCAAAGCATCAGTGTTTGACAGCCTGGGAATGAGACTCGCCGAACAACTTTAAATCAATCTCTCTCCAGAATAATTTTTTACAAGACACCCAAAGTAAGGTGACTCCTGAAAGTGACGTCCTCTGTCCTATTTCCAGGTGATGCACAAAAAACCCCTCTACCCTTAAAGTTGCCCCAAAAAAACTTTATTTAACCATGATGTGTCTGTAGCCCAATGGGACATTTCCATGCTCAATTTTTGACCTGATGTCACATATCATGTAGGTGTGCCATTAGGGCAGAAATTAACCCTAATCTTATGAGAGGAAGACGTTGTCCCTGTTTATTTCCACCTTGGGCCCTCTAGCACGCCAGTGTTTTCCAATGTTTTCTTATTTTTTTAGGTTTTAGGAGAGTTTCTGATTTCAGAATTTAAGGTTTTGTCACTCTAGTCAGAAATAGAGTATTAGGGACAAATTAATATCTGGCATTCAAGCGGTCAAATGTAAAGACACTGAATATCAGTTATTGGCAGGTTCAGTCCAAAATGTATTATCAGTATGGGCTTTAAAAAATCCATATATGTTGACCTCTACATTGTAAGCCCCTCTTTCATTTCTAACCCTTCAATAACCTAAGAAAATAACAGGGTTGTGCAAATATAGCTCAATAGAAGCATGTGGTTACTTGGAGGTGTACAAAGATTCATCCCAGAGACAGTCTGAAGCTCTAAGGGTGAATATCCATTTTAGTACAGCAGCCAGTCCATAAAAAAGAATGTGATCACAGTTTCATTCCACAGTTCAGAGCGGTTCAGAACCTCAGCACACCAAACAGATCCAGTAACTGCAAAGTCACATCAGTTATCAGCAAAATCGAAGGCATTGATCCGAATGCGGACATATAGTGAAATTATCGAGTGTTCTTCATATAAGTGTGTCAGCTGGCACTGGTACACTAGGAACCTTCCACATAGGTGTCAGTGTATTTTTGAATAATTAATGATAGCACTGTCCATGTGGTGCTATTAAGGCACCATGCAGTCCCGGTCCACACTCTAGTTGAACACACTGGGCCTTATTGACGTTAATCCCATGGCAGTCATTTGGAACTTGTCACTCTTGGGGTAAAAAACATCAGATCCAGCCTACTACTGCTTACATGCCATATATAAAAACCTAGAGCAAAATTTGGCATTTCACAGATTCCTCACTAAAACACTACTAAATATTGCCAGGTAGCTTTGTAACAATATAGTTTTGTCTGCAAAGGCCTTAGTATGCTTCAAATTAACTAGGTTCTACGTCAACAGACACATAACAAAAGCATTTATACCTGTTCAGAACAGCCACATTAAAAGGTGGGGTGAAAAGCCTGCCTTGGGGTCTTGAATTGTGCCAAATGTGATATTGATACATATTTTTTTATTATGCACAGTTTCTCCTCAAAGGCATTCATGGTTCACATCTGAAAAGTGACAAAAATTCAACATGTGGAAAGTAAAGTTTCCATTAATTAATGAATAACGTATGAATATTTACTTTAAACTCAGCATTTATGTTAAAGCCCCTACAAGGAACTTTCATTTTGTGTTGATTCTGGCAGCCCCTGTGGAAAAATGTGGAAGTGTTTCTACCACCTCATTTAATTGATTTCAAGGGGAATCCGACCTGGTGGCAGGCATTAAGAA